AAGCCGCCTCCTCCAATATGAAAGCCGCCGCCTGCAGCCTATGGGGCCTACTTGAATTTATGAGAATCGAGTAGTAGAGCACTAGTTGGCAGTTCGTTATTTTTTGAATTTCCAACGCAGCTGGTGGTATACTTGGTACATATATACATATATGCATACATACATACATACATACATACATACATACATATATACATACATACATACACACACATACATACTCACATACATACATACACGCATACATACATACATACATATGCATACCCATACATACATGAATACATATGTATGTACAAACATACATACGTACATGCATACATAAATATATACATACATACATGCATACATGCATGCATACATACATACATACATACATACGCATACCCATACATACATGAATTCATACATGCATGTACATACATACATACATACATACATACATACATACATACATATATACATACATACATACATACATACATACATACATACATACATACATACATACATACATACATACATACATACATACATACATACATACATACATACATACATACATACATACATACATACATACATACATACATACATACATACATACATACATACATACATACATACATACATACATACATACATACATACATACATACATACATACATACATACATACATACATACATACATACATACATACATACATACATACATACATACATACATACATACATACATACATACATACATACATACATACATACATACATACATACATACATACATACATACATACATACATACATACATACATACATACATACATACATACATACATACATACATACATACATACATACATACATACATACATACATACATACATACATACATACATACATACATACATACATACATACATACATACATACATACATACATACATACATACATACATACATACATACATACATACATACATACATACATACATACATACATACATATACATACATACATACATACATACATATATACATACATACATACATACATACATACATACATACATACATACATACATACATACATACATACATACATACATACATACATACATACATACATACATACATACATACATACATACATACATACATACATACATACATACATACATACATACATACATACATACATACATACATACATACATACATACATACATACATACATACATACATACATACATACATACATACATACATACATACATACATACATAGATACATACATACATACATACATAGATAGATAGATACATACATACATACATACATACATACATACATACATACATACATACATACATACATACGCACACACATACATACATAAATACATACATACATACATACATACATACATACATACATACGCACACACATACATACATAAATACATATGTACACACATATGATAAGATCTAAGGCTGAGAGCATGTCGCACAAATAATTCATTGTTGTGAATGGAAGGGTACCTACTCTTCGGCAATTCTGTGCCGTACAGTTCTTTATTATTGCTTGCAACGTTGCGGGGAGATTTGAATATTAATGGTTTTTTTTTTGGTGCCTGTTGTTGCCACATTGCCACACGCGGCGCCTGAGCCTGTGGATTTGGAAATCTTTGGCATTGTTTGCATAACATTTGGCAATTATTGCTACATCCTTGCTGACAGTCAGTGGCCAGGTTGCCAGGATGCGCTCTAAGCCGGCTTAGGCCAGACAGGATGCGGAGCAGCAAATGTCACCTTTGTGCGCGCGTGTGTCCGTATGTGTGGGGGGTGGGGGGTAACTGCCTCAGCTGGCAATCGCAGCAGCAACTGCAGCGAAAGTTCAGCGCCCGCGGCCACAAAATTAGCGCAAATTGTGAATTGTAAATAGTAAATTGTGAATGCCAAGATCAATGCGCCCAGGCATTAGCCAAAAGGTGAAGGCAAGGGCTGAGCCAAAGGAAGCCCCAGATCTAAAGGTAAACGGCAGCGGTTCGCAGTGCCAGCGGCGCGTTTGTCAATCAAAAGGTGTGCGCGAAGATCGCGAGTTGGCATCTGGCTTGCCGACAGTCTAAAACGGAGACGGCGACGGAGACGGAGACTGAGACGGAGTCGGAGACTGAGAGTCAGTCGGCAAACTGGCGGCGTTTGTGCCTTTCAATTTCGCCTCGAGCTGTGGCAGCCACTTCCTTTGCGGCCAGCTGTTGATTAACTGCATAATGAGGCCTCGTTGTTGGCCTGTCGCAAAGACCTTTAAGGACCTTGGCATTCGTTTCCGATTTATTTCATTATTTCTTTCTTGTCAATCATTTGCATATTCCGCACTGCAATCAAACAGCTTTTCAAGGCAGTGTACAAAGCGCGTTTCCATCTCTGGGGTCAAGATTTGCACACAGCATAAAAGCTCTTGCTCTCGCGCTTTTTCGCTCTCGAGAGAGCCTCTGATTTTGTCGAGTCCCTTTTTGTGTTACATTCGCAAACGTTTTACCGTCAGCAACTATGTGACTTATGCTTTGTTGTTTTATTGGGGGAAGAGATAAAAGGAGCAAGAGATCTTAAGAAGAAGGAAGATGCATCTGCAAATCTCTCTAGGGATCAGAGTCCTGGCTCTGATCATTTAAGAAGCAAGCAAAGCTATACAACAAGCACATTTTGTTAAAAGAGGTCAATTTGGTTTGAGGTCAAATGCTCAAAACTTTACATATGCACATTAAAACAATTTCAAGAGGAAAAAACCCAATAAAATGGACTTAAAGTTGGAAATACGTATTCTAATTAATTTAATGCTAAAAATATCATCGAATTGAATGCATACGACACCATTTTATTGTTTAGACAGTTAACAGGAAAAACTTTAACGCTCTGTCAGCTGTGAACAGCTCCCCTGTTCCGGACCCTCCGCCCCCCTCATACAATAGAGTTGACACCCCCATCGCACACAGACACACATGTTATTTATCACATTTACAAGCAATTAATAAAAAATTTTATCGATTAGACAATCGACAGGTAAAAACTAAAGAATGAAAATGAAGAAAACGCGAACCGGAAATGCGACGACTGTTGTCACGGCTAAGGAAAATTTAAATTTTCCTCCTTTAAAGGGTTGGCTAAGTGTGCGTGTGTGTGTGTGTGTGTGTGTGTGGGTGTGACTGTCAGCAACATTAGAAAATTAGTTTAACGATGCGGGTGAGCACAGCTGGCGATGAGCTGAACGGAGCGCAGCAAGTGCAACCTGCAGGGGCAGAGAAGGAAGAGGAAAAGGATGAGGAACTGTTACCGGGAAATGTCTAGAGCCAAATATAATAAAAATAATTCAATTAACGCGCGTCCGCTCAACAGTTAAATGGCCTACAAATTAGAGCCAAGCCCACAAGAATGCCAGAGCTGATGACAGGTCGACCGAGCCGTGGCAGGGGAAGATGTGTCGGCCGGGAAAGAGGCAGCAGCAGCAGCAGCAGCGTCAGTCGGCTAGCAACCTGTGCGTTGCTGCGGATTAAGCGGGTCTCTGCGGGTTTTTCACAGAAGCCCAACAACAACAGCAGCAGCAGCAGCAACGGGTACCCTGTCGGCTCGAGCCGCACTCAAAACGAATTACAGTGCGAAACAGGCCGCACGCTCCGAGGGCGTCAAAGTGTTAACAAGTGTCATGTCAAATGTCGGCTGTCGCACGAGCTAAGCCAAAGCAGATAAGCAAGCGAGAGCGTGCGAGCGAGACAGATGCAGAAACGGACAGAGAGAGAGAGAGAGAGAGAGAGAGAGAGATCAGTTCAGCTGCAGCTGTTGTTGCCGACGCAATGGGGGCGTGCTGCTGTGCTGTCCCTCATTGTTCCTTTCGGACTACCTGCTGCTGTTTTGAGCAGCACAAGCAAAGCAAATCACTTGGTCAAGCAACAGCAGCAACAACAACGAAAACAACAACAACAGCATTTACCGCAATAGTATAGCATTCATCTCGACAGCTGAAACAACAACAGCAATTCGAGCTCAACTAACATGTCAGCCAATGGGCGCGCAGCTTTTACGCTCTTAAGCCAAAAGCAACACAAGAGCAAAAGAGCTTGCCTGCGCATAGCCAGACTACAGCTAATGAGAGCCGAGCTTGCGCTCAGGTCAGCTCAATTTGCATGTTGAGCTTAATTTTGGCAAGCGAAGGCAAGGATGAAAGCTGGTGAGCGCAAAGCGCAGCAGAGTGCAGACTTGAGCTAAGCTCACTGTTGAAGTGAAAACTCTCTGCTGCGCTTGCTGAAAGCTGAGCTTTGACCTGCTTCTCTTAGTCGCGAGGCTAAGAAGCACACCATTCAGCTGCAACTTCACTCTTTTGCACTTTAATCAATCGAAAAAGACTAAAAATGAGACTTTAAATAAGCTCTCTCTTCAGGAATAAACTCTCTCAACGCATGTACCTAATGGAGCTTTATGTGCTAGGACTTAACTTACTTATTTGCGTCAAACTTAAACGCCAAGTCGGCAGATTATACTTTTTTCGAAAAAAAAAAAGAATTTCTAGATACATCAATTTTTAGAATACACCTCTAGTCCAATCTAAATATAATAATATTAATTAGATTTTAATACTATCTATAATTAATAATATATATTTCAGCAAGAACATCAACTTATATCTTATTTTAATTAACGTCAATATATATTATAACTTTAATCAAGAGTTCCCGTTAGATTCTCTTAAAAGCAAAATTGCAATTAGAAAGAGAAGACATTTGGCTTTCGTAAAAGCTTTCAAGTGAAGACATAACCTCACTTGTAGTTTAAGTTTTAAAAGGAAAAATTCATATTTTGTGTTTGATGCAGCATTTTATTAATAGAAAAAAAAGGTTTTAAAAAAAATTGTTTTACTTAAGCATAAGTAAATAAATATTTAAAAAAAAAGTTTTTTTTTTACAAAAACTACATAACAGCAGTGTAAAAAAAATTAACTTAAATTCTAATATATGTACATTAAAAAAAAAAAAGTAATTAATTGCAACTTAAGAACTAAATAAGCGTCATAGTTAAGCGTTTTCCCCCGTTTGTCAGCGTTGGCTAGCTCTTGCCTTGTCTCTCACTTTCTCTCTCTCTCTCTTACTTTCTCACTTTCTCTCCCTCTCTCTCTCACTCTGGCTAGACGTAGATAGAGGGCAGCGCGAGGCCCACCTCGAAGTAGTTGCGCGCATCGACCTTGTAGCGCTTTGGTGGCGTCTCCAGGCCCCCAGCTGCTGGCGCTGGCTGCGTCTGCCGGGCACGATTCCGTTTCAGTGGGCGCACGGGCGTGGCCAGGCAAAAGGTATCAGAATGATTGGCCGGTGTGGGGGCACGCGGCTGCGGTGTGGGCAGCTGCAGGAGCACGCTGTGCGGCAGCTGGGACAGCGGTGAGGCCGGTTCGGGCGTGGCGGGCAGCGGCAGCGGCAGCAGCGTAAAGCTGAGATCGCTGGCGGGATCATCGCCGGGCGCATACGATGGCGACAACATGGCCACGCACTGCGTCTCCAGCTGCTGCTTGACGAGCGTGCGCCGGCGCAGATTGAAGGACTTGCGCGGCTTCTTCTTGCTGCCGGCGTCCGCCTTGCAAGCCGAATCGAGTATGGCATCGATGAGCTTGTCCAGCGTCTGATCGCCCATATGGGTCGATGGCTGCGGTGTGACGGCACGCAACGCTGACTGCGCTGACTGCGCTGGCTGCGCTGGGGTTGCCGCTGCTGCGGCTGGCTGAGTTGCTTGCGGCGCCTGCTCCCCGGGCAGCTCCATGGTGGCCACAAAGTCCGCCTCCAGCTTGCGCTGCCGCAGCTGCTGCGTGGCAGCCATATAGCGCGGCTGCTCCAGAAACGGATCCAGCGGCAGCAGACCGCGCAGCGCCAAATGCTGACCGCTGGGCAAGGCGCCGGCGCTGGGCGAGTACTCCTCCTCGTAGCGCGGCAAGGTGGCGGCATAGTGTCGCACGCTCTGCACGACGCGACGACCCGCCGCCGGCGACGACTCCGGCGTCACGTTGCGTATATCGGTGAGCGGCGCCAGCACCAGCGGACTATTGCGCTGCCGCGCCAGCGGCATGGGCGTCGATGTGTAGCCCACACTGGGCACATTCTCCTTGTTGGCAATGGTCGCGCGTCGCTGTCGACGCTGACGTCGCGCCGCACGCAGCTCCGGCGCGGGCAGCTCGTTCAAACGTTGCGTTGAGGCCGTCCACTTGAGCATGTCTCTAGTTTGCTTATCGGGTGTTTGTGTGTGTGTGTGTGTGTATGTGTGGATATATGTAGAGCTATTTGTCGGAGTGGCTGCTCCTGATCTCTGTTCGGCACTCGGCTAGCTCTGTGCAGTCTCCTCTCGTCTCGGCGTTCGCTGACAAACTGAATCGGTTCGGGGTAGCGGGCAGCGTTTTATACTCGGGCCGTGCAACGCGCTAGGGGTTGTTGCGCAAGCGCACCCCGCGGCGAATAGCATGCACACAAGATTGCGTTCTCTCGCTCTCACACACTCTCTCTCTTTTTCTCTCTTCCTATTGTGGTTACTCTTAATTGCAGCAACATGCCGCTAGCTCATTTCAAGCTCAACTTTAAGTGCTGCTTAAAGCTCTAACTCTTTCCTAACCCGTTCTTTCATTGCTTTCAATTGCATCCACTTAAAGCATTAATCACAGATCCAGTTTAGTGCTTTGTGCTTTGACGCAACAAGCACACACGTGATTTGTTCTTTTACTTTTGCTCTTTTCTCTACACTTAAAGCTCTTCTTCTGCTCCACTTTAAGCCATTCCAGTGGAGCACAGTCTGTCGCTATGCCATTCGTAAGCTTCGTTTCCAGCACACTGCTTGACTCTGTCGCTCTCGGTTACAGTTTCCTTGACATTCTGCTCTCTGGTCCACTTAAAGCGCGACCCAAAACTTCATACCATTGCTTTGCTTTTCCTTCAGTTCGGCGCTGTCACTTAAAGCTTATCTTAAAGCTTTCATTCAACTATTGAGCTCCCACTCTGCTTGTACTTTTGCTTTACAATCCAACTTAAAGCTGTCTTTCAGTTTGAGGTCTTCTTAGGGATTCTTACTGAATCTCGCCCTCAGTTAAAGACAAAGCTCTGCTCAAAGCTTTATTTTGAAGACAATCCCAACCCTTACGGATAGCTGACGTTTTTTGTTTCTTTGATATTCGTTCCCACAGCGCGTTGGCACACCCAAATGACGTCTAGATCTCTATCGGGAATCGCTTAGTTATTAAATTTGCTTTTGCCCTCAAGGAAGTGATCGTCATTGTTGCTGTCGGGCTTCGTACCTTCCCCTGCCGTCAGCGTTGGTCAATTTGAATGTCGTTTAGGGGTCGGCTGGCTTTTGGCCTGGCCTGGCCTGGCCTGCTCTGGCCGCAGCAACAGGCTTTGACACTTGCTGGCCAAGCAGGCACGTTAATTAGGCAGTCTCACAACAACTTGCACAACTTCCTGCCTCCAGTTGGATGTCGTGTATTAATTGCGGCTCTTTAGCGACCACTAAAACAGATACTTTAATTGAAAATGTTGCAACTTCCGCAGGAAGCATTTGAAAAACGTTACAAACGCTGAGTAGGTGCTGATCCTGCACATTAGTCCTGCTGCGCCGCTGTGCCATATGGTTAACTATCCACTCAAACACCTTCGAATGAGTTGAGTTCTGTGCAGGGCCAGTTGATCACCTTTGCCCGGATCGCCAGCACGGTCAGCTGGCAGTTTTGTCTACAGCTAATCCCGAGATTTGGATCACACGAGCATTTTCTTCGTCTGTGCAGATCAATCGGATCAGCCAGACTAGACTGATGCATTTAGTGGATAACTAAGCTCTGGGGATCAGTAATACATCAATCTTCAAGTGCCCTGCCCTGCAAAAGGGCTCAAGCAAGTCAATCAGCCAGCTGTTTAACTTCGAAACTTATTCGCACCTCGATAGATCTTAGTAAGCCCCCATGATCTGTTCATGATCAGTTCAGAGTTAGACAAGATCCATGCTACAATGTTTATTATCTCTTTAATTAGAAAACTCACAAGCGCCGAACTACATTAATCAAGGGATTTACTTGATTAACTTAAAGCTAGTTCCGTAAATTGCGTTCCTTGACATGACTTAAAGTAGGCTCATCAACTGGTTGGCCCTTCTTTAACTCATCCCACATGAACGCCATCTTTTTGATGTTAAACATAGACAGACCGAAGCAGATTTTTTCAATAAGAAACAGGTACAAAACCTGCGATCGTCTTAAACAGACTTTTTCAATATGAAATCTTGCATACCTGCGATCAGTTAAATCTAAATACTGATCTACACAAGTATCTCATTTTCTTAAATTTAAATAGTTATCATTAAGTATAACTGATCCTAAGCAATTTCTGCTCTCCTCATAAGACCAGAAATATATAAGTATACAATCAAATGATGTGTCTAAAGAATAGTTTACAAGCTAGCATGCAGATTAAAAAAAAAAAATCAAAACTCTTAAAAACTCACCAATGCCCAGTTCTGAATATCCACTGATCCCTTTGAGCAAGATTTCTTTTGAATCCACGAATTGCATTTGTCGCCTTTTCGGGGCCCGATTACTCTGCAAGCTCTCGTGCAGCTGGAACTTTGACTTTCCGCACTTCCACTTGCACACTCTCTCTCTCGATTAACGTCTCTCTTAAATTGCATTAATTCGCAAGAAAGAAAAAAAAAAACAGTTTAGCGTGCTGAAAGATTGCTTTAAGGCAATTCATCGATTGCATTCACATATTTCACACGTTTTCTTTTACGGCTCTTTCTCTGCGATGAAAGTTGCCGATTTTGTTTGCTTTTGCGTCCATTCTTCGGCGAATGCATTCTTCGCGCAACCAAGCAACAAAGGGGTAAGGGTAAATTAATTGAATGCTGCGCACAACGAAAAACAAAAAAAAAAAAAAACAAGAAAAAAAATGTCTCATTTTTTTCAACTCTTTTTTTTGTGGAATTTTTTGCACTAAAAAAAAAAAGGGTTTCGCATATTTGGTTTTCTTTTCGCCTCGTCTTTGGGCAGCCCTTCGCGATGTTCGCGGTTCCCGTTACCGTTCCCGTTACCGTTCCCGTTGCTCTGTTTCTCTGTTTTCGGCGAGTTTTTTTATGCTGTTTACATAGCCACACAAAAGGATTAAATGGGATTTTAAAGGAGTTCGGCAAACGAATTGCATCCGATCCGCAGTATGCATGCCCGCAAGGATCTGTTGATTAATATGATTTAACGAGCATCTTGCTAACTGGGCGTGTCCTGTCTTTAGCCGTCTGCCAAATGATGGGCTGCTTGAGAAATTACCATAAGCCGCACATTTTCTGCGGTTTACATGGAAAAAAAAAACGACATAAATGCGCGCACACGTAAAACCACTTAAAATCAATTTACATTATTCACATGCGACAATTGAGTTCCTTTCTTTCTTTAGTTTCTTTACTTTTTATGTACTCAACGATTTAACGCTTAATTAACGAGCCGGCACACACAAAAACCCGAAAGAGCGCAAGCAAAAACATCCAGCCGAGGGCCGGGACAGACTGGGCCGTCGGCCGTTTGACGATCGCTATGCAAATTGCCGGCAGTTTTTTTTTTATTCTCTTTTTTCTTTTTGTTAATTCACACACTTTCGCTCTCTCGCTCGCGCGCTGCGCCTGTGCGTGTGTGTGTGTGTGTGTGTGTGTGTATGTGCTGGAACGCGTCACAAAGAGCCACTTGACTTTCACTCTCCGGCATTGCCTTTTGCCTATCCCCCTTTACCCGTTTCGCATTTACCTAGGCCCCACACACTGCGACCGATGTGCATGCTCAATGGCCTGTGGCAAATGCTTCGCCACTTTGGCGCATAAACTTTGCGAATCAGCTTTTGTCTCTGTCGCACGCGTACGTATTTGCGATTTGCCGATTGCTCTGTTTGCTCGCCTGCCATTTAAGCCGGCCGCTCTTTGCATACGGACGCAGCCCTTTTTCAATGCATGTGCGTGTGTTTTATTATTGTTGCTGCGCTCTCCTTTTGATTTTGATTAATGCGTTTATTTTGCATTGTGTGCGAAATTTATCGATATTTGATTTGCTGCGCCGCCAAAAGAAACAACAAAAACTACATGTACGTGCCAGGGAAAAGTGTAACAAATGTTTGTCGCGCGGCTTTGTTTGCGTTTTGCATAAGTTTTACTTCCAATAAACATGTGAGCGCACACACACGCACATGCGTATGTAGATGTGTGTACACATGTAAACAAGATTGGAACTTCATTAAAACATAAGCGAGCGGCATTTCCAAGGCTGGAATTTATTGTAAGAGAAAGCTAATCTTAGACACGAAATATAAGAGAGTCTTAAGCTTAAGTCAAATGCTTTGCTCAGGCGGGACATAATTTTGAAAAAATAAGATCTGCTTTCAGTATAAGAGAATCTTCATAGCTCATGTAAAATATATACATATAATGTTATTCTTATGAAAATTAGACCAAAATATACATATGCATATTTTTTTTGTATGTGCATATGTATATTTCTTATAAGTGTAGGGAACAAAGGGAATACGAAAATCAGGTAATAAAATTGCATTGCACTAAGAACATATTAATCCCGTTAGATCCGTTGATTTCCAGCCAACACCCAGCTCTCAACTCCAGAAACCACAAATAGATGAAGAGCTCGGGTCCAAAACAAACGCCCACAGGGGCGACCAATTCCAGATATTGCGAACATGCCCGTGAGTTGGCAAAAATAAAAGTGAAGAAGTGATACTAAAATAGAATAAACAGTCAAAAGGACGAGAGCAGGCTCTCGAGAGGGGGCCCAAAGCAAATGTCATGTTTATGCTCATAACTTTAATGCTCAAAAGTCGACCAACTGTCAACTGTCAAATACGAGACAATTTCGAACAAAACGCAATGATGCTGAAGCAAGAGTGAGAGCGAGAGAGAGAGAGAGAGAGAAGAAGGAGCACGAGCGAGCAACAGAAGGAGGACCCGGGGGGACGACTCGCAGTACTGAGTGTGACCCTGAAAAAGCAAGGCTGCAAAAACTGGAACATGCCGAAAAAAAAAAAAAAAACAAAATAATTGCAATGAGGATGCGAAAGATGCGCGACGAAGAAGCAGACGCAGGCAGACAAGACAAAACAATGGACAACGTAATGAAGAACGCACACACACACAACGCTTACGCAAAGACACAACGGGAGAGCAGACACAACACAGACGTGGCCAAAGAGAGAGAGAGCGAGAGAGAGAGAGACTTCTAGCGAATGATAGACTGAGACGTCCAACAAGAGGAAGTAAATTACGACAATGCAAGCGATGGTAGCAAAGGATGCGGCGATGCGACGCTGCGACGCTGCGGCTGACTGACGTGCCGCAGAGAGGGTGAGGGGAGGGGTGGGCTGCAGCCAGGCAGGCAACAACAACAACAACAACAACAACAAAAATTGCACAAGACGAGCCAGAAATTATGGCAAATAATTTAGAGCAAAAATTGTCGGCTTGCAAACAATTGAAAGGGATCCTTCTTGATGATCCTGCGATGCTGCAATCGATTGCCCAACCATTTACCGTTCCCTACTCTGCATTCCTTTATCTTTTCGTGTCCGTGTCTGTCTGTCTGTCTGTGTGTCTGTCTAGAAGTTTGTTGCTTTCCTTTTTGCGCCTTCGTCCTGCTCCTTTTGCCCAATATCTTCGGCATGTTTGCGCTGCCTGCCTTTGCCATAAATTTGCAACAATTAAAAATAAAGTTAATTAAAATTTATGTGCGACAGTTTTTGCACTTGGATTGCGACCAGCCCATCGAACATGTGTAAAAAACGGCAACCAGGATCTAGCCAGCTATCCATGTGTGTGTGTGTGAGTGTGTGTGTGCAGAGACCCAGCCCCGTCTAATTGCTGGGAGTGGCCGATTGGCATTGAATGCCCAGCCACTTGAAGCGTTAAGATCTTTGATCTCTCCATTTCGTAAACTCCTGTTAAAAAAAAAAACTAAGCGCTGTGTGAAAGCTGTGCTGTTTATATTCTCTCTCTTACCTTTAGCCCTTCCCCTCTCTCTCTCTCTCTCGCTCTCTCTTTTGCAAAGCTTAAAAGCGCAAAAAGCTTTTAGGCAAAAGCTGCCTGAATTTTTGCTAGCAGTTTTTTTTTTTGGGTATGTTTTGATAGCTTTGACTTTCCTTTTAATCCCCCCTCCTTCTCGTGTCGGTGCCTATTCTTCTCCTTTTAATCAAGAACATATAGAGATAAGTTAAAATTAAATAAATCTAATAAAATTTCGTTAAATTTGAAAACAGAATATTGAATAGATTTGTACAGATACATACAAGCTCTTGCATAGAATATACACACGTTCTAATATCCCTTGGAACTTCCACTTCGCTGTCGTCTCTCTGCTTCTCCCTGGCAACTTGTTTGATCTTTGGCAATCAAATCTTATGGATCTGCAACTCTTTCGTGGCACGGCGCCTACTTTGCAATTGCCGCCTCCGGGTTTACAATCTTCCTCCGCCGCCTTTCGCACAGCCGGACAACACACACACACACACACACACACACACACACACACACGCACAGATGAGCGCTCTTGAGCCGGACAATGGGCCTGTCATTTGTTGCTGATGCGTGGCTGATGCCTTGCGTAGATTTATTGGCCTGCTCTCAATCTTTCACGTAGCACGCTGCGTTCCATCTAAGAAGCGTGAAAGTGCCCCTGTCCGAGAAGATCTGCTTCGATTTGTTTTTGGCTCGGCATAACAATGGATCCAACGGAGCGGCCACTTCTGGCGCAACTTCAGCCAATTTTCTAGGCAAAATTGTGCCAAAAATTTCTGCCCTCTGTACCATGTTCATGTCACTAAATTAGAGCAAAATAGTTTGGTGGTGGCGTTGGCAGCTGCGCCAAAGCTGACCGCCATGCGAGCTGCTCAGGATTAGGCGCAGGCGCAGGAGCAGGCAAGCGTTGCGGCTATTATCCTTTTACCTAAAGCCTAAGCGGCGGGGGGAGCGACGGCGGCGACTGCTGCTGCTGCTGCTGCTGCTGCATCTTGGACAGTTGCTTCCGACTTGGACACAAACCAATTATGACATAGAAGAAGCCAGAGCAGGGTGACCAGCCAGCTATGACCCTGAGAAAGTCCAGGCGAGCGCATTGCAAGCAAATTTAACCGCAATCATTACACACACACACACACACACGCACAGAAACACACACGGACACCCACAAGTGCAGTTGAGGATGTGCCGTGTCCTGTGCCGCGTCTAATTGTCGGAAGTGCAACTACTTAGAGACTGCCGCTGACTATGCGCTTCGCTGCGTTGCGCGTCTTCAAGTGTCGCATCGAGCTTAGGGCTAAGACCAGGCCAGGCCAGGCCAGGGGCCAGTTCTTGAAGTTAATTGCCACACATTTAGTTGTGATAACATCGCGGCGATAAGGTCCTGTTGCAAGGTACGGCCAGCTGTACCCGGCTGCC